TGTTATGTAATATTCTATTTGTCTCTGGAATTAAATGAGTTAACTGCCATATACCTGTTGTTGCTATTCATTATATACTTTTCTGGGCACTAGCAAATTCTCCATGACATTTTCAAAGGAAATCCTAAAGACTAGAGTGACACAGCCATTTTTTAAATTGTATAACTATAAGGAATTTGTTTCCTAAGAGACTCATTAAAATTCTGTATGATTCCTGAGAACGGACTAGTAATGCTAGGAAAGTAAACAATAACTCTTCTTAAAAAAAGAAATATTTCTTTAAATGAAAACTTAGCCTAGAGTCTCAACTTCATAAACACTTTATTTGGATGCTCATACCTAATTCGTTAGACACAAACCACTCTGGATCAAACATAGAAACGAGTTAAGGTAGGACAACTTTAAAATCTGAGTCCTAGCAATAAAAATATCTCTTAATGTTGTGAAGTATTTAACAGATAAGAGTTGATACTCATTCTAAAAGTTACATGTGATTTTTAATTTAGATTTTAATTATAAACAAATTAATGCACAGTAACCTCTAGCAATTACAATGCATTTAATTTTCAATGCATTTGAAATTTTTAAAGAAAATATTCCTTTTAAAATAATTTGAAAGGTTACATTTTGTATTTAATTGTGTTTTTAATGCTGTATCTACTAAAACTTTGCTACAAATATTATTACTTTTTCAGTTATTCATGGGATCATATAATGCTGGATATAGCTATATTTGCCAGAGTGTGGATTATTCTGATAATGTTAATGAAGTCAGGGTAAGTAAGTACATTAGAAATACTTTTAATCAGTAAAGGTGATTTGATTTTAGAGGCTCCGGTCTGTGAAAATGTAGAATGTACTTTTTGGTTTTTTTTAGACACAGGTTCTTTAACATTCATTTAGAGACAGCTTCTTGTTCTGTCACCCAGACTGAAGTGCAGTGGTATGTATGATCATAGCCCACTGCAGCCTCAAACTTCTGGTCTCAAGTGGTCCTCTTGCCTCAGCCTCCCAAGTAGCTGGGACTATGGGTGTGTACCACCATGCCTAGCTACTTTTTAACTTTTTGTAGAGACTGGGTCTCGCTATATTGCTCAGGCTGGTCTTGAACTCCTAGCTGCAAGGGATCCTCTTGCCTCAGCCTCCCAAAGTGCTGGGATTATGGGTGTGAGCCACCACACCTGGAAAAATGTACTTTAATGTGATAGTGAAATTATATTAGATTGTTATGAGTCGATAAAGCCATGCTTTTTTTAAAGTACTTAATTTTGCAGCATGAGCAAATATGCATTGGATTACTGAATGCAGTACTTGTGAAAGCAAGGAAGTTTAATGTTTTTTTTAAAGATATTATTTTAGATTTTTTTGTTTGTTTTTTGTCAAAAATAGAAACTCTTAGAGTCCAAGTTATTTGTTAAGAAAGTGAGGAAAAGTAAATGTTAAGTGTGAAATGTTTAGGAAATTAAGCATAGAGCAATTTGTATAGGCATAAATTCAGTTTCTTATTATATTTGCAGAAAAATAAGCCCGTAGTAAGATGTTACCATATTTTATTTTCCAGTCACTTACATGAGTAAAATTAACATTAATTCAAGCAAAAGAAACAACAGATTACTGTATTCTATTAAGTATTTATTGGACTCATATACTGTGGTTCATACCAAAAATTACATATAAAACATATGTTTTACGTTACCTATAGTGTATGGTAGTAATAAGATCTAGTAGCTTCCCTTGAGAAAAATAGTTTCCTGGCCTGGGGGGTTTTTGTATTCACTGTTATGTAGCCAAGAAGTATTACTTTTGTTATAGTCTATTTAAAGATATCTAATGCAGTTTGCAAACTAAGGAGACTTAACTGTTTATTATTATTTTATGTGAATTGTGGCAAATGTAGAGGTCCAGATGGAGGCAAAATAAGACATTATCACTTTCCTTCTAAAGTTACTATGCCCAAGTGGTGATAGTTACCTTATTTTAAAGAACTAGTATAATAACGAATATTTACTATAGTGTTACTGGGAGTAGTTAACTATTTTAATGTTACTTTCCACCAATTTATATCATTATTAATGATATTTTTTGAGTAAATCCAGTAAATAATTCTCAGTTTATAAATACTTTATTTCTTTCATGCTTTACCTTTCTTCTTTCCCCAAACTTTAAAATTACAATTTTGTTTTTCAAATGTAAAAGCCAAAACAAAAAACTCATGACATATACTGGTGCAGGTATAAAATGCAAAGGGATCCTTCAGCTCTAAAACACCTAAGCCTGTCTGTGAATGAATCTGACAGGGTCCTAACACACAAAGGCTTATAAATAGATGTTCGTATGTACTGCCTTGTTATTTGTACTAGGATGCTTATCATAGAAAATACTTAACATAAAAAATTAAGTTTTGGTTATTGTTCTGGTAGGATTCTTGTAAAACATTTTAAAACATACAGAGGTCACCTCTCACTAGATCCTTAATCTCAGCATGTAATGTAATCTTTCTGCACCATCTGGTGCCTTAATTAGAGCCCAGGAAAAGACTTATTCATGTAAGCAGGATTATATTTATGACCTGGGAAATATTTGTTTGTTCATTCCAATTTATTATTTTAAAGATTTTAATACCTAATGCAAACTGCTGTGATTGGATATTTATGTTGTTGCCCGTGTAAGTGTGGGGAGAGGGGAGGGGAGTGGGGAGAGAGAGGGAAGACAGGCAGACACTGGCAGAGACCAGTTCCTACATGAACTTACTTGCATGTTTTTCTGAGCTATAATATAGACTAAGCATTACCAACTAAAATCACTTTACAAAGTAAGCATCTCAGTTCCTCTACCAAATTGAAAAAGATAGCAATCTGAATGTGCTTCCAGCTCTGTATCTAGCAATTTGACACTGTGTGACGTCTACCTGTGTAAAAGACTGAAAATATTCTCTAAGTTATTGGCACTGTATAGATAGATAGCATTTTGGACTCTCTTTCCTGTTTTTTCCCTATTTAGAGATGCTTAGATTTTTTCAAACCTAATTAGCCGTAAATGATTCCATGTACAATATGCAAATGTTTATTTTGGACTTATTTACAATGAGTAGAAACCCATACAATAGTGTCATTTTGGTGTTTATAACATGCTTTCCATTTTTACAGATAGCTGCTGCTCTGTGGTGGTACTTTGTATCTAAAGGAGTTGAGTATTTGGATACAGTGTTTTTTATTCTGAGAAAGAAAAACAACCAAGTTTCTTTCCTTCATGTGTATCATCACTGTACAATGTTTACCTTGTGGTGGATTGGAATTAAGTGGGTTGCAGGGGGACAAGGTGAGCCTTTTCAGGAATATACTACTTATGTTTAATTGTATATATGTGTTCAGTGGAAACCACTGAGAACCTAGGACTTTGACTTGATACACCATTTCACTTGCTTTCATGGTTAATTTCCATGTACATTTCATTTTTTAAAAATTTGAGGAAAGTAAAACTTTTTTGTTTTATCTGTGACTACTTAATACCTAAAGATTTGCCCCAGAGATGAGCATAAACTAAGACTAAATGTAGAAAATAATATTTTGATGGGGAACGTGTCTACTGGTTTTGATCCAAAGAATATACCAAGACACGAATACCAATACAAAGAATACCAACCCCTCAAATCTGAAGATTTTCATCTTAGTGCATAGCTCACTCTTGCTCTAATATAGCTTGAACATCCGTAATCTAAAAATCTGAAATCCAGATGCTCCAAAATCCAGAACTTTGTGAGCACGATTATGACACCACAAGTGAAAAATTAACACACCTGACCGCATGTGATGGGTCACAGTCAAAACTCAAGTGCACAACACAGTTTATTCAGTATCCCTAAGACACTCTTACACGCTTTTTCATGTACAGCATAATGTTCATGCCAAACAACCACAAATAATGTCTACATGTGTGGCTAAGTCAGTGACATCTTCACTTTTTGATGGTTCAGAATACACAAACTTTGTTTCATGCACAAAGTTATCTTAAAATTATATAAAATTATCTTTGGGATACACGTATAAGGAGTATATAAAGTTTTGGATTTAGACTTGAGTCCTATCTCCAAGATACCTTGTTATGTCTATGTCTATGCAAAATTCCAAAATTTTTGAAAAAATCTAAAATCAGAAACACATCTGGTCCTGAGCATTTTGGATAAGGGATACTCATCCTGTATAGGTCTCGTTGGTTCTTACTTAAAGGAAATTTTATATATTCTTGTTCATGTTAAAGAAGATCTGAATTCATAGTTTGGCCAAGATCTGCCTCTGATCTCTTCAGATGTCTGTTGATTAAGGATGATTGACATTGTTGAGCTTGATGCAGATGATTCCTCTGAGGAGGATCCAGAGTACAAGTCATTATAGTATAGTTCACCTTGCTGGTTTCCATTGTCATATTATGGTAACTATTTAGAAACCTAAGAAATAAGTACTGTTTCATTGTAGATAGTGGCACATATGAAGGCAATAATGGAACATTTACAAATCTACTTAAATACTTAAATGAATTACAACTTTCTCCCCACAAGAATAGTAGAATTAAAAGTAACACAGGCAAGAGTTCTACGTTTGGGACTACTTAATCTCACTGGAATACCCCATTTGAAAACTTACCACTTTGAAAGACCTTTGCATTTGAACACACATTTTTATTTATATGTTAAAGCCTGAAATCTAAACCTTAAAAAGACCTGGCTTAATCTGAAGGGAAAACCTTTCCATTAGTACTACTTTATATCTTTTATTCCTAATTTGTACTCAAGATTAAATAATGTCGATTCATTCATCGTATATCTCAGTGGCTTACTAATAAAATTTTCTGTATATTTTAATTCCCTGTTGTTTCTCTGAAGCATTTTTTGGAGCACAGATGAATTCCTTTATCCATGTGATTATGTACTCATACTATGGTTTAACTGCATTTGGCCCATGGATTCAGAAATACCTTTGGTGGAAACGATACCTGACCATGTTGCAGCTGGTGAGTTAAATGCTTCCAAAGTTTCTTTGGGTAAAATACTGAAAACATTTAAATTTGATTAATTTTTAAAATGTTAAGTCATTTTAGACAATATTCTACTATGAAATTAACTTAATCCTGTAGCTATATTGCAGGTAAGGCCACTTGACTCCAGCTGACCTATTCATAGCCGTATTGGTCACAACAAGTCTTTGCTTTTATAATATACTTAAAAGACTAGACATAGCACTTACTCCTCTAAGGGAAACATTCTCTAAACATATTTGTGGAAAGGATGATTAAAGATCTAAGCATACTACAAAGTATGTACATTTATGTATAACTAGAAAAATAATATATATTTATTTCCTCAGGTGATTTTTTTAACTTAAAATTTTATTACCTCTCTTCATCTCGTCCTTGCTTAAAAATTTTTTTTTTATTTCATCTTTCAGTCTTTAACATATCTTATATATTCCAAATATACAGTTGAAAAGAAAGCACATAGCCAAAGAAGGGGTGGGGCAACGGAAGGGAATAAGGACAAGAGAACACCTTTTAATTCTCTAAAACACTGTCCTTAAGAGAGAAGAGACAGATGCTTTCAAATGGTGGTCTTTAGTCAAGACAGTTCAACACATCCCCCTAGTAAGACTGCTTGTAGCAATCTGAATGTGTGCATTAGTGTAACTTTCAGATGCTAGGCACTAGATTGTAATCAAACTGAAAATTCAAAGCCAACCTGGTAGCTCTTTTTTATGCTTTAGAATTTATGATAATTTGCTTTAATCATAACATGTGCACAATTTTATCAGTGGAATCACATTTGGAAACATTATTCATCTCTGCTTTAAGTTGCTAAACAGCTGGCTAACCAAACAGGAAGCACAACTTTTGGGAAATGCTGGGTGTGAAGGATTCACTTGTAGCCAAAGTGGTACAGGAAGCTTCCTACAGTTTTTGAGTAAAGCTATTAATACAGTTTGTGTAATTAATTTATCTCAGTAAGTAGTAAAATGACCCAAGAAAATGAAGAGGTGATCAAAATCATGTGAATTAGTCCTGGTTTGTTGGAGCCTACACCTGGCTCTCCTTGAGTGATGCCATACCCAATCACACCCTCATACACACCCTTTTGCGATGCAGCTTCTAAAAACCAAAAGATTGTGAAACCAAAAGTTCTTCAAATTTGAATATCTGCCAAGGAAAATGATAAAAGTTATTTAATATGGTATAAATTTTTAGCTTACATGGCATTCACTATTTTTATAATATTTAAAATAATTAATAGTGATTATTTTGGTCAATAATTAACATGTTAAGAACAATGCTATCCTTAAAAGAGAAAGCGGCCGGGCACGGTGGCTCATGCCTGTAATCCCAGCACTTTGGGAGGCCAAGGCGGGTGGATCACGAGGTAAAGAGATCGAGACCATCCCGGTCAACATGGTGAAACCCAGTCTCTACTAAAAATCCAAAAAATTAGCTGGGCATGGTGGCGCATGCCTGTAATCCCAGCTACTCAGGAGGCTGAGGGAGGAGAATTGCCTGAACCCAGGAGGCGGAGGTTGCGGTGAGCTGAGATCGCGCGATTGCACTCCAGCCTGGGTAACAAGAGCGAAACTTCGTCTCAAAAAAAAGAGAAACCACAATTGTACATTTCAAACAGGATGTTGAGTTTGTATTTGCAGTCCTCACAACAGTTAGTCATGTAATTTAACTGTATAAAAAGTTAACCCTTGTTAACATCCATAGAATTCATGATTCTCATGTCTTGCCCCATTCATTTATTGATATATCAAAATTTATTTTATTTTAAGCATCTACTTTTGGATTTTTTCCTTTTAAAAATTCTTTAAGTTGAAAATGATTCTTTTTTATTTATTCTGAAATATCTACTAAATATTATCAAAATACTAGTTTTTAAAGGATAGTGTTCAAAGAAAAATTTGCCTACTGTCTTTAAGAAATAAATGAGCCATTTTTATAAACTCATTTTAAAAAGTATATGTATCTGCTTGCTTACAATTTGATAGAAAGAAACCAAACTCAAATGTGGGAGGAAAATAAAATGAAAGAACCTACAATACTATTACTTTACTCTTCTAAGGCCATTGATTCCCTTCCATCAGATAACATTATTCAACACATATTCATTGATCCTGACATGGTGCTGAGGACTCAAGAATTACCAATAGGCAAGGCAGAGTCCTGCCTTCTGGAGTTATATTCCAGTGGAAAGATAGCCAATAAAGAAGTAACAAATACAAAAGACAATTTCAAATAGTTCTAATTCTCCTTTAAAAAAATGCAGAAAGTCTTTGGTTAATGGGACTGAGAGGGCCAGTTGAAATCTTGTCAGAAAGCCCTTACTGAGAAGAGGGTATTTGAGCTGTGAATGAGAAGGAGCTGGCCGTGGGAGCCAGAAAACAATAAATTTTGCAGAATATGGCAAAATTTGGGCCTGTGGTAGCTATGTAGAAGATGCTGATGTTGTTAAAAGTTGTTTACTCCTCAGATTAAATTATTATGTTTTTTGTTTTTCAGGTTCAATTCCATGTGACCATTGGGCACACAGCACTGTCTCTTTACACCGACTGCCCCTTCCCCAAATGGATGCACTGGGCTCTGATTGCCTATGCAATCAGCTTCATATTTCTCTTCCTTAACTTCTACGTTCGGACATACAAAGAGCCTAGGAAATCAAAAACTGGAAAAACAGCCATGAATGGTATTTCAGCAAATGGTGTGAGCAAATCAGAAAAACAACTAGCAATAGAAAATGGAAAAAACCAGAAAAATGGAAAAGCAAAAGGAGAGTAAATTGAACTGGGCCTTAACTGTTGTTGACAGTGAGGAAAAACTCCCATATCATATAAAATTTCAGGGAAAACAGAAGCAAAGGAGAGTTGGGGGTGGGGAGAAAAGACAATGTGCTCTACGTACTACTAACTCTTAGACTGAGTAAAATGTTAATACCATATCCAGATGTTTTATTTATGAATTTTTTTAACTTTTTTTTTTTTAATTAGCCTTGATGTTCTCCAGACCAAAGCAATCATTATGTGACTTTGGAGATTCTCCCCCTGTTGGCATCCAGTTGTCTAAAGGGTGAGATATTTCATGTATGTTATAGTCACTCATTCTTCGGTCTGAATTTTAGATGATCACAGAAACAATCTTTATGAATTTTTTTGATAAATTGCTAATTATCTTGTCTGAAGATAACTGACTGAAATCAGTTGTGTTACATTTTCTTATCCAAAGCTTGAAATGAAATGTGGATACATTTAAACTTGCGTATTTTAATTCATTTGCTGACCAGAATGGTCAAATCTCTCCACCTCTAGTCAGAGTATACCCTGGTTGTAATTAAATTTTTAAATCTGCTGATCTTTGTAGAATCTTAGAGGCTTGATGATGATGGTGTTGGTGAAAATGAGAAAGAATTGCAGTAAAATCTTGTCTGATGACTCAGAGATTACCATGACTCAAGGCACAAATCACTGTGGGAAAACAATTTTTGTTTTTTTATGAAAAGGCAGCATTTGAATACTCCTGTTATTAGCAGAAATATATTACAAAATTTAAGATTATTATTGGATTGAAACATGAAACAACTCATGTCTTTATTAGTAACATCATAAGATAGTTACATTTATGTGCTGTTAGAATATGTTGATTTTTATCAGGCTTTCCTTGTTTTGATTTGTGGCTGTTACTGATTTTTCATATGTGGAAAAATACCTACCTCTTCTGTTGGAAAGAACATTTAAAATTAAATAAATTTTAATTAAAAAATCAAGGAGTCTTCTAATGTAAATTTTAATATTAACTTTCAAATCCATTAGTATTTTTTTGCTTTTATGACAAATAGCATACATCAAACATTTCTGTGAAACTAGCCTTCTCTTTCAGTGTGTTTAATTTTGGAGTAACGTTTTCCTTGTGAGTAAGTTGCAAGATCTTATTTATTAACGAGGTATGAAGTATAAACGCATTTTGGTGCAATATTCTTGACTCCTTGGTGCTAAAGATTGTTAAATTCAATGCTCGATGTTACAAGGTGTTGTTAAAACACAACATGAATAAAAGTGAGAGTAGTCAGAACTATAAAAATAAATTTGCTATTTACAAATGAACTATTTCATGTAATATAAGTGAACAACTGGAAATAAAGTAGAAAAGAATTTGTACCATATTTTACTACATAGGTTAATTTGTTAAGGGATGTTGCAAAGGGATTACTATAAGAAGACAAAATGTGACCCAAAAAAAAAAGCATGAATACTTCTAAATAACAACATGTCAAAGCTGCATGTACAGGATGTATGCCATTTGTACAGACTACTTCAGAATATTTTGTAAACTATAACATATTTATTGTGCATTGAAAATGAATACTTTTCCCCCAAAGGCATGCAGTCATAACAATTACAGAAAATTTTCAACACATAGTTTGGTCTAAGAGGATTCAACACCTTTGTTTTATTGTTCAGTGTGTAATGACTAGAGATTTGTAAATCTTTGTGAACATTCTGTACTGGTTCCCAAGAGCTCTTCGTTCCCTGCTACCTGATTTCAGCACAATAAATATATTTCTGCTGTGGGAAAAATGATTTTTTTTGTTAATCCGTTTATTACAATGTAAACTCTCTGCTAGACGTTTATTTGATTTAGTTAATTCTAAATTGCTTTCTGCTGCTAATTTCTTAAGTAGAAAAGAAGTCAAACTAGAACTTGGGTATTTACAATTGCTGGTAAAAAGCTTACTTTCTATGGTAGCATATTTTTACTTTCAAAATTAGTTGCTTTTGGAAGAGCTTTTGCATTCAGACATAAAACACACCATTTTTTTCCTAAATATTCTTCCGTAAAGGGGTATGTTCTTGATTCTTCAATTTAAATCATTCAGTCCTTACTATAAGTTTCTTTATAGAAGATTATTTTAAAATGTCATAAATACAGCCTTTTCCAGAGCTTTCATAATTTCTTCTCTGTTATCACAGAGATATGTTGCATGCCTTATATCTAAAAACTGGTGAATAAAGAGTATGTCTCCTAGTTCGTAAAATTTTGTCACTAAAGTAACATTTTCTTATATAGAAGACAAGAAATTTGTTAAATACTTGCAGTAACTAGAAATACCTGAGACATGAGTTTTCCTCTCTAAGAGAAGACTGTAGTTCTTTCTCTTTCTTTTGTTACTTTTTCCTTTTTTTTGGTAGAAATGGGATTTTACTATGTTGCCCAGGCTGGTCTTGAACTCCTTGCCTTAAGCAGTCCTCCAGCCTTGGCCTCCTGAGTCTATTACTCTTGACTGTTTTGCTGATGGAAGCTGATGACTAGTTTTAGTTTTGATATTATTAATTCATTCTCTCTTTTTCTCTCTTTTGTTATGCATGCTCTTAGGGTATTCAAAAATATTTTAGCATGGATTATTATGTTTGTACTTGAGAACATGGAATCTAGCAGTGTTTTTAGTTTATTAGGAATATTTTAATTTATAGGCTTGTTTCATATATGCATCTTAGTTACCCTATAAATGAGAAAGAGAACTCAGAGGTGTAAGTGATTTTTGTTGTATTATCTATTTGACAAAACAAGTCAGATACTATATATTGACTATTTGAGCAGAACTTTTGAATCTCTCTCACCTTCAGAATGAGACACCGCACTGAGGAGTTCACACACTCTCAGTTCTTTCCTTGTTATAGCCATAATCTCAGCTGTACTCATAACACCATTCTTACTAAGAAAAAAACAGCTACAGCTATCCAGGATGTATGCTGGCTGGCCTGCTCAGCATGGACCTGGGTGGCAGATTTCAGTATCCTGCTGGATGGTAAATAGGGCAGCAGAGGTGAGAGATACTGTGATACTGAGCTGTGTACACAAGCACACAGCATCTGAGCAGTAATCATAAAACTTGCTGAAGAAAATCTGTCACCTGCCACTCAGCGTGCAAGTAATTTTGGCAAGTGACCTTAGAAAGCAAGTCCTTATTAGTGGTGTAATTTAGAATCCATGCTTAATCTTTGGTATTTTAGGCAGATAATTTCTGAATGACAAGAATATTTGTGAAAAGAAAGAGAAGTAGAAATGGATTCTTTTTTTTTGTAGTATTCTTTTTTTCACCAACCTAATATTTTTGTTTCAAAATACTACAAATCATACAAGTATTAGAAGTTAGTTTTCTTATAAATTACAGAGGGGAAGGCACGGCTGTGAATTGAAAGGCACAGCTCCTTTTGAATTTGTCTTCATAGGAGGCTGTGAATCCTGAAGGAGAATCCTGAAGTACACACTGAAACACATCACTTAATATCTATCTAATTATAATGCAGCTATCAGAAGGTCACACTGCATTTTAACATCTATACAGAATATGTCCAAATGAGAAGCCATCCTAAATACAAAAGAAAATCTTGAAAGATTTAAATACTATGGCTACTTCTAAAAACATAGGATTTAGAAATTATTATTTCTCAATTTAAATACAATATTGAGTTATAAAGAATAAATATTTCATCAGTCCACATACATATTCCATGTCCTCTGTCAGTCTTTAGGTATTCCTGAATCCCTTTTCTGCAATTTTAGAGAAGCCAGTCAAATTGCTCCATTTCTCAGTTGAATTATATTTTCTTTGCATTTGCCATGGGGAAAAAAGTTGAAATCCCTTCTTTGTCACTCACGATGCATTATATTTCAACTTGAGTTTCTCCTCCCTGTGAGGAAGCTGTTTTAAGAACCAGTCTTTCAAGAATACTGATTAGCTAGCTGCTTGGTAATTAGAGGGTGGAGAGATTATGAGTTTTGTACGATAGATAGCATGATGTTGGCAACAGTCTCGCCTCACCTTTGAGTGTGGTTTGTGTTCTAATTAATAAAATGGGATCAAATACATTTATAATTTTTATAAGCATATTATATAGTTAGAGTTTATCAGTTGTACCTAATACAGTGGGGTTTCCAATATACTCTGATTTCAGATCTCAGTGAAAATTTAATAAAGACATCACAAAAGAAAAACTGCTCTTCAAAGTTATATTTATTCAACATTTGTTTTTGTTGTGCTTGAATTATTACTCCCAGCCCTCATAAAGTGATATCTAATCTTTCCTCCAGAAATAAAAGTAGCAGGGGACCTCATGAGGAAAAAGAGCAGTCAGATGAATTTGAGTAACAAATTTCTAATTTATCATTAGGGTTGAGATTGGGAGTTTACATCTTAAAGTCTACCCTAAATATTAACTGCTTCAGATTATCAAGCATCATCATTGGTTTATGTACTAGATGTTTATGAGCACTATGAATCCATTCCTTTCTTCTTTCTCCTTTCTCACCTCCTTTAGTATTACAAAGTCTGGGAAACTAAAAATCACATTTCTCAGATTCCCATGTGATCCCCTCATAAATTTAGGTTTTGTCAATGTGAGGCACTCATGAAATTTTCTGTAGTAGAACAATTATATAAATGAGCTCCTACAGACAAAAGTGTTGGAAACAGTTGGATAACACACTCCGTTATCTTGGCATCAATTTTATGAATACAGACAGTGCTAATGGTGATGGCATTGATGACAGATGTGGTTGTGAGAATTTGAAGCTAAAGACTAAGGATAGCCGCCTCGCTTTTACTCCTCCAAGTTACCAATAACTTTATAAGCACCTCATCTTTTCAACTAAAGATTTTCTGCATGAAATACTTTGAGTGTTATCTATTTCATGTGATGAACCTTACCTAGCTCAGCATTCAGCATCAAAATTTAATCAAGAAATCAACTTTTAAATATAATACAAGATTGGTTATCTGTTGAGTTTATAGGCAGGGATAACTTCATGACCACTGGGAAACAGGATACTGTTTTCCATGAAGCAAATAACTAAATTAACACCCATGGCCACATAGGATGGAAGAGCTCTTGACAGTCCTTTGACAGACCAGCTGCTGCACTGCACTATTGTAGTGCCAATAAGAAATAGAGAAAACCCGAGTGGCAGCGTTGCTTCCTATTGTACTGCAGAGCTTACAGAAAAAGTATTCACTCCTATTTTAAATTATTGGCTCAGGGCAAGGAAAAATTGCAAACATGACCCTTCTAAGAGACCCTTCTATATATCATAACTGCAGACTTAAAATGCTTTAAAACAAAATTCAAAGTTTGCTCCTTTGGGTTGCAGAATTACAACTTGAGTTCACAGCCTCAGTGGTTTCCTATGTGAAATTTGTGGCATTGATCATGAAAAGATGGGACCTAAAGGAACAGAATGGGGATATTTAGGTAGATGTGGATGAACCTGAGAACGTGAATCTTTAAATTGCTTTGAATATGCCTGTTCATAAAAGCAGTCTCTCCTCCCTGTCAGATAACATTAGTCCTTTGTTACTTGAGATTCTATAATGACCTCAACCAAGGTAGTTACCTTCCAAAGGGATGCTGATCCTTTTTATGCCTGCCTTCTCCCCTTTCAGTGCCATCAGATCTGCAAAGACAATTAGATCACAGCATGTCCCAGGAGAACAAATACAAAATCTATCCTGGGAGGAGGTGGTTAGAATGATAGGATTTGGCTAATTTTTATCTGCACGAATGTATAGGAATAGATTCTCAGGTGTTAAGCCAGGCAGAAACATATCTTTAGAATAAACTGAAATTACTGATACAGTTCTTATATCTAAACAAAAATTCTTATTTTGAGGCCATAGCCCAACAGTGAGGAGAAGTTTTACTGGTGTTTCAGTTTTTCAGCTGAAATAGGGACTCAGTACCAGCCCATATTAAACTCGGATATATGTTAGAAATTCTTTGAATAATGTGGAGGAGAGACTCTAGAGACTTAATGGAGTTAGGAGTGTTGGAGAAGATCTACCATGTGTGATCCACCTGACTACCCGCTCTCTATGTTTGAAAAATCTGTTGGAAAGGTCCACAAGCATCCTTGGAAAATTCTGTAGTGGTTGTTTTCTATAGATTGGATGATGACAGAGGGAGGAATCTTCCCTAAAATGAGTTCCTTAATTTAAATTTCAGTGGGAATTAGAGTATTAGATTGGCATACGCCAAATGGCAATATTTAAATGCCCGAGACAAAATGAACATGATTACAGTCATAGGCAAAAGAGCCAGAGCTGTTATTAGAATGGCTTGGCCTGTGGGTGTCTATGGTGGTGGCCAATTTAATATGATGTCCCAAGCACTGAAACAGACGGACTAAGGTCCTTCTTGATTAGTATGACTGACTAAATCTGGTAAACACTGGCCTGACTTGAGTCATTACAATGAGACACAGCCCCTCACCAATTCCCATCATTGGTCCAGTACACAGACCCAGAGCTTTTTAAATTGAGGAAATATTGGTTTCCCTTGAAATATTCTGTGATGATTTCATAGGATATACTATAAATCCTCTTTCCTGCTTTCATCAAAAGGGAAGAAAATTAAACACATTTTGAGAGGATTACTGGGACACTGACTCTGAGCTGATGCTGCTCATTGAGCACCCAAATTGCTACTGTGTTCACCAGTCAAAATGGGGGATTCTAGAGGCCTGGTGATCTGAGTTCATCTCACAGTGACTCCGTGGGTCCTCAAACATACCCTTCCCAGTTCCTGTATGTATAGTTGGATTAAACATACTCAACTCCGGTTGAACTCCCACATTGGCTCCCTATCTCATGGAATGAAGGCCATTATGGTATGAAGGACCAAGCTGAAGCTCCTGGAATGTCCCTTCTTATAGAAACAATAGACCAAAAGTAGTGCCACATTTCTGGGTGAATGTCAGAGGTTCATGTCATCATCCAAGGTCTGAAAAATTCAGGGGTGATGATTTTTTGTCATACCCCCATTTAACATTCCTGTTTCACCCAAGCAGAAATGGGGGAGTCTATTCTTAACCATGTAACTCCAAATTCAATGGCTGTTTCAGATGTAGTTAGCTAACTGAAGCAAATAAAATGTTGGCAGCTGACATGCTGCTATGAATCTGCTAAAAGTATTTTTCTCCCTTCTAACAAAGAGATGACAGAAGTCATTTCTCTCACCTTGTAAAGTAAGCTGTACATCTTTGCTATCCTTTTTTTAATTTTAATTTTAATGCATCAAAAGGACTTAATGTCTTTCCTATCTTACCTCAGCTCTCCAGTTTTCTGTAATCATCTAGTCCACAGGAACCTTGTCTGTCTCATCACACCATAGAACATCACTTTGTTCCACTGCAATGGTTAGCGACGTGCTGACAGGCTGTGATGAGAAGGAAGTTGCAACCATTATAGATTCCTTGGTAACGAACATGTGTGTCAGAAAGTGGGAGGAAAAAACAAATTATGTAAATTCAAAGGCCATGACATCAATAAAATTTATGGCAGTCGAGTAGTTTATAGCAAGTTGAGATATTTCCTCCTCCATATACAAAGGTGTATATATGTTGTTTCAAAAATCCCATGAGATGGTAACAATCATTTTATCTCTTTAATAGTGGGTAAAAGAAAAATGCTATGAAAATTTCCCACTATTAAAAAGACCCAATGATTGTTACCATCTCACTGGACTTTTGAAACAACAAACACACCTTTAAATGTGCTACTTTGACCCATTTATCAAGTAATCCTTTGACCCATTTATCAAGTAATCCATAAGATTGCCAGTTCTGAATGGGGTCCAGAGCAAGAAAATGATTTGTAACTATGAACTGTTGTGCATGCTACTCTGCTATTTGAGATTTAAGATCCAACAGATTAAATGGTGCTTGGAGTGTTTGGCAGAAAGCAATCCCATAGGAGGCCCTTGGCAAACCTTGATTTAGAATTACAGCGCAATCCTTTCAGGTTTTAGAGCAAAGCCATGGCCTAGTCTCCAAATAACTATTAAGAAACAGATCTTGTATTGCTTTTAGGCCACAGCAGAGATTTGTGTATATGACCACAGAATATAAAATGGTCACATAAACAGCTACCCATCATAGTCTAGGTGTTCTCTCATAAACTAGGATATGCACAGCAGCACTCCTTCATCAAGTAGAAAGTCATGAAGGCACACGTAAGAGGCATGAGCAACGCCTCAGGTGACCATTGCACCTGCTCTTGCTGCATTGCCATTTCTCCCTCAGCCCACACGTTTGACGACATGAAAGTTCCTATGAAATGTTAGCTGACTGTGTTTGCACACCTCTGATCCATTTTGCTCTGTTTTGTGCCCTGAAATGCTGAACCATATGGGCTACATCATCTTGGCTCCCTTGCCAGCCATCTTCCAGTTGGAGTCAATGAACAGCAAGTGCCAATGGGAGATCAAAAGTCTCCAGAGTGTGTAGGACACTTCCATGCTCTTTTCCTACTTTAGTGTTGCATCTCTGACCCTACATACCTTTCTCCACAACTGCAGTCCCTGCTGGGAAGCTGCTTCTCTGTTGATCTAATTCTCACCGAGCTCTGTTTCTTTCCCTGCTCCTCCAGAGAATAATAACAGCATCACACTCATGCTAGTTTTCTTGCATCTCCCCATCCCTTGTTTATTTCTTTTTCCCTGGCTACATCTCTACATGTAATCCCTTCATTAAACGCTCTTTATTTAAACTATCTGGGACAAAGTCTAATTTATGAGGGGACCCGTGTTGAGAAACTGTAAAAGTAATTGAACCTGGTTTACAAATTATTCCACAGAATATGCAAACACTAGCTAGAAATGAACTGTGGCAGTGTTACAGCTTAAATGTGTGTGGAAGGAAAATCCTGCTGATGAAAGAACTTTGGGCAGTACATCTGATTGCTCCCTTTTCCTAGAAGAACAACTTCCCAGGGTCGTGCATTTACATCAGATTTTTGGTAACGGATAATGATTTGGCTAGATGCTCAAGGATTTGGAAGGAATAAAATGGAGGATTGGTGACATGGGGTTCTGAGTATGACTTTTTTGTGTTCCATGTAAATGCTTACCAAAGGCACCTACTGCAGAAGAGCCTGTTAATAAACAGAGAGACAGGATAATCTGTTCTATGGATATTAGCCTCCTTCCTTAGTTTCCCTAACCACCCCATGTTTGTTCACTGGGTTTATAAACAAAATGGACAAAAGTACAGTGTAGTGTGCTTCATGGTAGCTCTGGGACTTATATATGTTACCCTATTTGAAAATGGGTTCCCTATAGTTGTGATTAAGTTAAGGATCTTAAGATGAGATGATAACTTTGGGTTCTCTGGTTGGGCCACAGATGCCATTACAAGTGTTCTTATAAGACAGAAATGCTACACCTGCAAAGAGACTGGGGTGATGACGCTGGGAATGCTGGCAGCCACCAGAAGCTGGAAGAGGCAAGGAGTGGATTCTCCTCTAGACCCTTCGAGGGGAGCACAGCCCAGCCAACACCTTCATTTTGGACTTCTGGTCTCCAGAACTGTAAGAGAATAAATTTCTATTGTTTTAAGCCACTAATTTTGTGGTAATTTGTTATGGCAGCCAAAGGAAAATAACCCAAATATGATTTGTATTATTTACAAGAGAGAGGTTTACACAGGCTCAAATGGTATGGACTTCTCAGCAAGGCTGGTCTAGCTAGCACCACTGCTGAGTGCCCACCTGCCCACAGCCAAGTCCAGTGCCGATCTTGTTATATGGACTTGAAATAGCCACTTCGCTCCCATTAGGAAAAGGGATCAATTCATTCTTACTAGAATGACACTTATTCTGGAATGAATTTACCAGCAATATGATCCATTTGTAAATTTATCAAATGTGTTATCCTAGACCATAGTATGCCACAGAACATTGCATCATATGCAAAAAAAAATGTATAATAAAATGAATAAGGCAATGATCTCACATATATGGAATTTAGTTCTTTTTCCATGTATTAGTCAGGGTAGGATAATTACTATACCAACTCCAAATTAAAGGGCTTAATATAATATGATGGAACACATATATAATTTTTTAAAAATTCTATTTCTGTTTTCACGGTGCAGTAGAGGTCAGTAGGGCAGAGTGAAAGGCTCTGTCCACAGTCATTCAGAGATCCCAGGGCTCCCTCCTTCAATTGGTCTTCTGCACTCGGCTGAGGAGGTGGACTTATAGAAGGGTTTCTCAAAGGATTTCATGGAGGAAGTAGGCCATCAATGACCCAGGTTTGGAGGCGATTATCATCAAATTGAACCCATACTCTATTAGACAGTAACTAATTCAAATCATTCCACTTAAGAGCAAAGGATGTGGAGAAATGTAATCTAAGTTTGTCTCCAAGAAGATAGGAAATGTGTTCGTGAGCTTCTAAATGTTATCTGCAATGTATCATGTAGTCAATCTCTCTGAAGCATGTGGCCTCGAAGTCAGGGAAATGTCTTATTAAATTACGTTATGAGTCTACCTTGCAGACAACAGTTTGAGATCCAATGATACTTTCCTTCAAGTACAGTATGTGCTCTGAAATAAGCCACCAATGTATGATGCTCTCTCTCCTCAGGCCAGGATACTTGATCTGGGAACCAAGGGATAGATTAGAAAGCAGATTCTTAGACTATTAATACTATACCTACATGCAATAATTTTTTGTTTTTATCCTTGTGACATTTTTCTGTGCCAGTTTAGAGATTTTTAGTACCCAGAGAAAGAAAGTTTCTACTGGGAGATACAATAATGGTTTCACATAAAGTCAAAATGGCCACCTAGAATTTAGAGATTCTTTTGCCATTCAACAAAGAAGAGTACTACATCCGCTGTGGTGATTCCTGGGGTAAAAAAGAGTTCTATGTCTTGAACTAGATCCTCTTTGGTGCTTCCAAGTATTTACATGGCCAATGACAAAATTTCATGGATGCCTTTAGTAATCCCAAAGAGACAGGATTACTGAGGCCTTGAATCGTTCAGCAATGAAGGTTGGGGCTTCTCTACCATGTAAAGAATCCTCTCCATTTTAAATAATGACTGAGGCAAAAGACAACTGGAATAAACAGTGGAAAATTAGGTTAACCATATTATTTGTGATTTTGTGACCAGTTGCAAGAACAACATCTGAGATAGTTTTGCATATTTTTCCCTGCTTTGTGTTTATATTTCTGTATATTAAACCAAAATCTTTCCTCTCTCTATTCCTATTTGATATAAGGCATATTATTGATGGTAAAATGCATAATAGTTTAGCCCTAAGTTTAAAAGATACCAAGGTGGAATTACAACTGAACTAGAGGAGAAATGAACAATATCACTAGATGGACACAATGAACAGACTTTGGATTCTCTCTTTTAGGAGAGCGTGAGCATGTTTTTGTTTGTAAAAGGTTCTGTTGTATTACGCAAGGTTGGAGCACATTGGTTTTGCTCTGGTTTTTCATTGGAAGATAAACATAGGCAGAAGATTGTGGATGTTGAGTAGTGGCACAGCAGACTGTGTTCAATATTGTTCAATCCATTTGACATGCATTCCTACTCCTTTCTTATAACCTCCCACATATCACTATTGCAAGGTCTAGAGAGCTAAATCTATATTTCCAACCTTCCTTGAAGCTACAGCCTTGGATCTGGTTTATATTCTACCAATGAAATGTAGTGGAGTGAGTGGATTTTTTGGAAGGATAAGATAATTCAAATAGCTCAGACAGACTTAACTCTCCTAATAGCTGGATCCCACATTTCATTGTTTATCATCAGCTTCATTAACATGAAGAAGATGTGATGTTATCAGTGATGGTAGCAATGGCAGATGCAGTTTTCTGACCTCTGGACTTTAAAAAAATGTTAAAGAAATGTTTCTCAATGTTGGCAGAGTGCCAAATAATTGGCCTAATTTGGGCATCCACAGATCTTAGCATAGGCCTGATTCCTACACCTCTCCTGTCTTATTTTGGGGGTTTAAGAGCTGATGACAGGTTTTAAATACATGCAGTTTACTTGAGTGTTGCTTCTAGATATCTGCAGTGAATGTGTAAGGGAGTAAGATAGGGAAAGAGGGAATGCCAATAAAGGATATATTCTAGGCTGGTTACCACCATGAGCCACTGAAATACATCTACTAGGAACCCTCTGGGGAACCATAAAGAGACCACCTGGAATCTTGTATCTGGAGGATGAGAGAGATTGGGCATCTATCTACAGACTTCTGTCTCTCACTGGTTACTCAGGAACACATCTGTACCCTCCCTATGACTTCTGGAATATACCTATTCTTAGGCTAAGTAACTCAGATAAACAAAAAGAAAAGCAGCAAAAATGAGCTTGAGATGGGACACTCACCACCAGTGATCATGGAACTGTCCATTACAGCATTGAAATGAGCAGCAAGCTGAGGGAATGTGGTTTTGAGCACCAAACACTTATAGAACTGATTTGACTCTCGAGAACCACTCCCACCTTGGAAAAAAAAGAAAGATTACACTTACTCTCTGGCTTGTAGTGTAACCTCTAATGTGTACAGCTGTTTGCAATATTCTCTAGACACCAAATTCATTGTGTAGTCTACAGAGTCATCCAGGTGCTATTTATTATTAGTGGATGCCCTAGTTCTCAACATAGAAGAGCTCTTTCTTTTTTTCAATGACAGTGTAAGAAGTAAAGCTTAAGTGCTATAATTCTATAGATTTTGCGGATGAGGGAATTGGGAGTTTGTTCTGTATACCAGCTTTTTAAACTGCCTTTTTTTGACCCGACTTTTTATTCCAGCAGTTCATTTGTCTGGCATATTCTGGGGGACTGTGGTGGAAAACCTTGTTACTGCCTTCACTACAGCTCTGCATAAAACTTGGTAGCAGTTTCCTCTACTTTGCTGAATGAGTTTATAATTTAACTGCCTACTTTCCATCTTGCAAAAAATTATTGAAATTTTTATCTGCCGAGGCTCCTTCATATTTTTCCCATTGCTATAGATTTCGACATTTTTGCTAATCTTTGGCTATTTTTTTAACAGAGCCTTGAGAGTGATAGAAAATAAATGAGCTTAGCCTACCATCTTGAGTCAGAAGGCTCTTCAGTGTTCCTAAAAATGTTTCTGAAGCCATCTTTAAAACAATGAGGATTCATTCTGAACTTTGTCACTGATACAACCTTGAACAATTTACTTAATGTTTCTGGGTTTCTTTCTTTAATTGTAAAATGGGGAAAATAATCACGAATTCAATTAATATATGAAAATTAAATTTAAAAATGCTTACAAAGTATTTAGCAAAGTGCCTACTTCATGGAATTGCTTAATAAATGCAAATTTCTTACATTTTTCTTGCCACCCCCCTAAAAGTTTGTTTATCCTCAGATATGGTTAAATTGTTTTAATTTGATTTCTTAGTTCATTATGTGGCAGTAATGGGGAAGGTTAGGTGGTTTGCAGGATTATTATTCTTTTCACAGTCATAGAAAAGAAAAAGAATCACTGCCCTAGGCTATTTTCTTGTCATAAGTGATTCACAAATTGTTTTTATATTCTTTCCAAAAACGGTTATATTCTCCTCCACCAAGAAACAAACTATTCATTACTTATTTACTTCAATATCATGATTTTCTTGTTCCTTTCTATTCACAGCTAAAGATTACTTCTAAAATGGCTTTTCTATAGTTAGAAAATTGCACTCTTTCTTGTGAATTGATTGTATTAAGCATTTTTAAGGTAATATAATACATTGTGTATATTTACCACTTAGTAGAGGATTCAATGCCTTGTTAATTTATATAGCCTAGCTAGTTACAGTGATGCTCTGAATTTGGAGCCCCCTTGGAAAATATTTATAACAGCATGCAAACAATAAAAACTCCTTTGCAGAGGGAAATGTCTCAGTTAATGGGTTATTGAAACATTAATTATACCTCTGCAATCCTGATATTGTGGATTGTGATTCATATGCTATAATTTGAATTCAGAAAATGAAAATCACATAGAAAATAGCATGATTTCTTAATCAAGGACTGAGGCACTCCAGAGTTTATTTAATAGCAAAACAAATGTAAAGAACTTTCTAAAGTAGCTCTGATTGCTTTATGTTAGGAATTAATTTGCACCTGTTATAAGACAGTGGCGGGATAGCTCTGGTTAGAATAGCAGGAGAGATAATCAGATTAAGCGCTCATGGTCAGGCACTGTGATAATAATAGAAATTAATGACTTTAAATCCAGAGGGGCCTGCCATGGATCCCTGGATTAAAGAACATTACTAATACCATGCCCATCCCTGTACACATCTACAAATCTCCTACAGTTTGAATACAAGTGCTTGAAAAATCTTTATTATCATCTAAGCAAAATTAAAGAAAAGTTATTGCAGCTGGGAGTGGTGGCTCATGCCTGTAATCCCAGCAGTTTGTGAGGCAGAGGCGGGCAGATCACGAGGTCAGGAGTTCGAGACCAACCTGGCCAATATGGTGAAACCCCATCTCTACCAAAAATACAAAAATTAGCCAGGCGTGGTGGTACGTGTCTGTAGTCCCAGCTATTCAGGAAGCTGAGGCAGGAGAATTGCTTGAACCCAGGAGGTGGAGGTTGCATTGAGCCGAGATCGCACCACTGCACTCCAGCCTGAGCAACAGAGCAAGACTCTATCTCAAAAAAAAAAAAATTATTGCATTATTGATCTTGCTTCTGATATGCTAATGTTTCAAGTCACATTTTAAAATTTCATTATAAATCATAATTTTTAAATTAGACTTCATTTTTTAGAGGAGTTTCAGAATCACAGCAAAATTAATCCACAAATACACAGAGTCCTAGATAGTCACTGCTCTACCACATACACAGCCTACTCCACTATTGACAGCCTGCACCAGAATGGTTCAGGTAGGTACAGTGAACCAATGATCACCCAAAGTTCATAGCTTGCATTAGTGTTCACTCTTGGTGTTATATATATCCTACAGTTTTTGACAAATGTATGATGTGTATCTACTATTATAGTAGCATATAGAATAGTTTCACTGCCTTAAACATCCTCTGTTCTTTGTTTAGTCATCCATCCCCCAACCTCTGGCAATCACTGACCTTTCTGCTGTCTTCATAGTTACACATTTTCCAGAAGGTCATATAGTCGGAATCATACACTGTAACCTTTTCAGATTGGCTTCTTTCACTTAGTACTATGCATTTAAGATTTCTCTGTATATTTTTATATATTGATAGCTCATTTCTCTTTATCATTAAATAATACTTCATTGTCTAGATGTACTACAGTTTATCCATTCCCATACTAAAGAACATCTTGGTTGCTTCCAACTTTCTGTAATTATGAATAAAGTTGCTGTAAACATCTGTATGCTAGTTTTGCATGGACATGAGATCCCAACTACTATGGATAAATATCAAAGAATGTGATTGCTGGTAAGAGTATTATTTAGTTTTGTAAGAAACTGACAAACTGTCCTCCAAAGTGGTCATGTCATTTTGCATTCCCACCAGTAGTGAATGCGAGTTTTTGTTGCTCCACATCCTTGTTAGCTTTTGGTGTAAGTTCTAGATTTTGGCCTTTCTAATAAATATATAGTGATAGTGTTTTAATTCACATTTCCCTGATGGCATATGATGTGGAACATCTTTTCATTTGTTTATTTGCCATCTCTATCTCTTCTTTGATGAGGTGCCCATTCAGGTCTTTTGTCCATTTTTCAATTGGGTTGTTCATTTTCCTTCCTTACTTCCTTTCTTTGTTCCTTAGTTTGTTCCTTCCTTCCTTCCTTCCTTCCTTCCTTCCTTCCTTCCTTCCTTCCTTCCTCCCTCCCTTCCTTCCTTCCTTCCTTCCTTCCTCTCCCTCTTTTTTAAAGAGACTGGGTCTTGCTATGTTGCACAGACTGGACTTGAACTTCTGGGCTCAAGCAGGCAATCCTGATTTAGCCTCCCAAGTAGCTGGGACTATATGTGTAGTCACCATGACTGGCTGAGCTGTTTATTTTCTTATTAAGTTTCAAGAGTTCTTTGTAGGCCAGCTGTGGTGGCAAACATCTGTAATCCCAGTGCTTTGGGAGATCAAGGCGTGTGGATGGCTTGGGCACAGGAGTTTGAGACCAGCCTGGGAAGCATGTCAAAACCCTCTCTCTACAAAAAATACAAAAATTAGGCAGGCATAATGGTGCATGCCTGTGGTCCCACCTACTGAGGAGGCTGACATGGGAGGATCACTGGAGCCTGGGCGGTACTGCTCTCCAGCCTGGGTGACAGAGTAGAATCCTGTCTCAAAACAAAAAAGTTCTTTGTGTATTTCAAATAACAGTTCTTTATCAAATATGTCCTTTGTGAATATTTTCTACGAGCCTGTGGCTTGTCTTATTTTTTTGGTATATCATATTTTTGGAGTAAGTAATTTTATTCTTTAGGGTGTAAACACTGGACAAAATGTATTCCAAAATTGTTGTGTACTTGCTTGATAGAGATAAACTGTGACTTTATAAATATATTAAGTTCTAACAATAGTAGACTATAACTAAGGCAATAGTACTTGCTTTTCAGAATAATCAATCACAGACATTTAAAGTTAATCACTTATGTTTCTTATGTTTGTCATTTAGACAATTAGTTTCATTTAGACATTGTTGAATGAATCATTTTTATGCCATCAATGTGTTATAGACCTGACAAGGGGAGAGAAAGGAGGAATGCTTTTTTTTTTTTTTTTTTTTTTGAGGTAGAGTGTCACCCTATCACCCAGGCTGGAGTGCAGTGGCATGATCTTGGTTCACGGCAACCTCCACCTCCTGAGTTCAAGTGATTCTCCTGCTCAGCCTCCTGAGTAGCTGGGATCTGGGTAATTTTTGTATTTTTAGTAGATATGGGGTTTTACTACCATGTTGGTCAGGCTGGTTTTGAACTCCTGACCTCAAATGATCCATCCACCTCATTCTTCCTAAGTGCTAGGATTACAGGCATGACCCACCACACCTGGCCAGGAATTCTTTTTCTAATGAAAAATTGATGTAGCTTAGTTCATCCCATATTTCATTTTTGTATTTAAAATTTATTTTGGTTTGCCTACTTCTGTATCATAATTGCATGGTCAGGGGACAAGGTGATTTTTTTTAGTTTTTTTTTACAAGTATTCATTCTAGTAGTTTTGACTAGATCCTCTGAGTTTATTGTAGATGGCAGAATATTTTTAACTAACATCTTCTTTAATTATTGCTAGAATCCCGAGCCGAGATAATTCTCATTTACTCTAATACTTGGCAAAGACAGCTACTCTTTACCAATCTTCATTTTCTCCTCCTCTCTCTGGCTATACATTTCCCAGCTCCCTCACAATAACTGAGGGCTGATCAGTACATGGGAATAGAAGCAACACACACTAGTGCCCCTTTGATTCATGAAAGCCCTCTCCACATGAACCTTCATTCTCTTTCCCCTTTGGGAGGTGCATAGTTAAATATGTTGGCTTGTTGACAAGGGT